CCCCAGTTGGCAATCAGCTGCCCCCCCCCGTTGGCAATCTGGCGCCTCCCGAGATTCAGGAAGCACCAGTCGCCCATTATTAAAGGCTATTGACTTCAAAGTCTCTGGTTTTAAACTGGCTATAACGATCACATAGTTGGGTACATCCCTCTGCAGAGTTTGGAGTTTAACTCTAGGTTATACAAGGCGTAACTCAATAATATAGTGACCCAGTTGGCACAAAGTGATAAACTTGAGGCATCCTTTGGCAACCTTGGCCTCTGTGTCTAACTGTTAACACTTCTGAATCCTGGCTTATTCTGTCTTTAAAAGATAACTAAAGCCATGTAGTAGAATAGCAGCAGCAAGATTTGAAGGAACCTATGTCACTGGGCCACTTTCTAAGCAATTAGCTATGCTGCCTTTAGCTTTAAATCTCCACGGAAGCAGTGTCTTATTTGCTTCTGGTTTGCCAAAACAAAGAGAATACACTTTCTTCTTCTCCTCAGGTGGTGCATGACCTATAGCCAGCACCTGTTCCTTTTTTTGTTGACAAAACCATGTTTTGTATGATGTTTTTTTTGGATTTCCTGTTCTGCAGGTGAACCAAAGCTGCATAGACAACCTTCTCCTGTCCAGAATGATCCTGTGGTCCTCCCACCTAACCTTCACCTCCAAACTCTAAGCATTCCTGGTTGGACATACAGCTCCAACCACACTGAGCAGCTCCAGAATATTCACAAGGGTAGGTGTGATGATAGGTGATGTGCCACGTATAGATTGAGATCACTCAGATTCTCACATCTTAACATGCTAGCTTTCTTTTCCTCCTTTACTCTGTGACTATTACTATTATTCATATTACAGCATCACATGGACTCAGGAACCTCTTTGCATAAAGGAGGCCACAGGAGAGCCAATGTAGTATACAGATATGCAGTAAGATACAGCCTCAAAGGGTTGATGGGGTAGTGGAGCTATTCAGAACTGGGCACTTCCCTTGCTCTTTGTGCCTTTTGGAAATCTTGAAATTAACACAAGTCATGAGAAGAAACTTGCAGCATAAACCCTGAGCTTTACAATTAAAGGTCAAATTAAGTTTTTAAAATGTATTTTCTTTCTTTTAAAGGCAATCAAAAGCAAGAGGCTGCAGATTTCAGTCGTGTCCTTCTGAGAATCAGGCATCTATATGAAGTAGGAGAGGATCCAATGCTGTCTCAGCCTGCAACAGTGAATCTGAAGGTAAAATTAATCCCTGCTGCCCAACTGCAATTTAGTCTGTCTTTTCTGCAGAGGAATCTTGTTATCAAGCCTTACCTTCCTGCTCTTATTTCATTAGATACTATGCAGGCCCCGAGTCTAATAATGCTTCTGTTAACATCAGTGACAAAATCTGTCTCCTCCTTAGGTTTGAGTTCATTTTTTTTTATGCTCTGTTCTGTTCTGCAGTAGCTATGACCACAAATAAACCTGCAGTAGGAAAACATGTACAAATATTTGTAAGACTGCATCTGTTGCATTCAGATTCATTTAACATTTGCTATGATACCTTCTTTTTACAATTTCTTTTCATGTAGTCTTGTTTAAACATGCTAAGTGTAAAAGGGATTGAAGGAAATGCATATTGATCTCTACTTTTTCCTGGGTTATTTTTTGTGCATTTGGCAACATTTTGTTTGGTCACTTTTGAGTCCCCTCGTTTGATTATTTCAACCTTTCACGTACTGGCAGGCAACAGAGTAATCATTTTTTACTATAACATTTTGATTGTGATCCCAGAAATGCTCACAGTGAGGACAGAGGCAGGGTATAATGTTGAAATGGGAGCTTTGCTTGCTGTCAGCCCATGCTAAGCTCCATGCTGTTATGGCTTGATTGCTACCAGGACCTGAACTTGCTAGTTTAGAGTTAATGTTGATATAATACAGCACACGTTTGTGACCACAGCATCAGATGTGTCTAGAAACATGGTATTTTGGCTCAAAGAAAGAATCTGCCCTTCTTATGGGCAAAAACAAATGTCTTTGCTCCTAGTGACATAAAGTGGGATCTGGTTGTGTTGAATAATTGGTGGTAGCTTTTAGAGTACACTGCTTTGGTCAGTAAGTTTGCAGTGTGGTAAACTTCTTGATACTACAAATTAAAATCTTACTTCTCTCCAGTAGCTCTTTGAAATAAAGGGCATGGGTAACTGGTGCCACCTTAGTCAGGAAGGTCATGTGACCAATCTCACCAACCGGGGGGTCCCCCCATGGCAGAACTCACCAACCGGGCACTATATCTGGTGCTCCCACTCCCTGGCCAGTGCTTGCAGGGAGGCACCGGTGCTCCTGCCTGCCCCTGCTGCCCATCACCTAAGCAGGGAGCGTGGCCGGTGAGGGGATGCACCTGCACTCTCGGGGGTACACGTGCACCCCCTTGCATCCCCTATGCGTCGCTGCTGGTAAAGGGAAGAGTGTGATGGTGTAGAGTCCTGTGAGTGAAGTTTAATGGGTGTATTGGGTTTCTTCATTCCTAGGCTCTGCTGAAGGGATTGGGAACCATAGTACTGGTAGAGGAACGGTCGCTTACAGGAACCTGGGATATCAATGCTTTGAATCGATGGAGGTGGAAAACGGCACAGCATCTAAGCCAAGGTTAGTTAGAAGCCAAGTTTTGTTTCCTGTCTTTATGGTCTGAGCTGCTGAAAAGGATGGGTATGGGCTGATACTGTAATCAAATATGAAAAGTTAGCATGCTGTCTCATCCAGCAGATCCAAGTGAAAGATTTACAATTCTTTTTGTCAGCTCTGTTCCGTATAACCAGGCTGGGTTCCAACACAGCCTCCAAACACTAATACTTAAGGGAAAAGCATATCTACATAGGGACTATTTTGAAATGCCTGGGATCAGAGTGAACTAAGTCAACTCTTCCCTGTGTGGCCCTAGCTTGAGTAAGAGCAGCTACATACTGCTACAAAGATTAGTTGTGCAAGTAAATGCTCAGTTATGTTAACTTGAGCTTCCAGGCGGACCTCTTCCTGACCCAAGTGGAGTGAAAGGCAGTACCACAATAGGTTACAGGATTTTGAATGTAAATAATCCAGGCGTTGCTCCTAACTTGCCTTCTGTTTTCGTGCTTGTCCTCACTTGAATTTTGCAATGCTTCCAACGTGGGCCAGCTGGCATAGGTGAGGCTATAAAGGTCCCACTCAGACTCAAGCAGGAAGCATGCCTTCTTTTGCAAGGTGCACACAGACTAAATTGAAAAATGATAGTCCTCGTCTGCTTTCCTACAGTTCCTCAGAAGGACAGACAGGTTCTCCAAGGACAGATCTAGGATTTTGAAAAGGAGGGTGCAGATAAAGTGGTGCATCATCACATATAACACAACACATATTTTTCTCCTGTAAAAGACAATCTAGAGATTTTACCAATAAACTAGGAGCGTATTCAGTTCAAGTTTGAAGCAAAAATAAATATAACTTTATTGGCTGCACATTAATTTGCTATATTATATTATATATAACAACGCAGCTAGCTAGGCAAAAATACTCAAAAGATGTTTCTTTAGTCCTGTAGTCATTAGAATAAAATGTAAATCGCTTTCAGATTCATAAAACAAAATTGAGCCTTCTTGAGCATCTTGACAGTGCGTCCAGTGCTTCACTGAAAGTTATTTCCACACCTGAGTTAATGTTTCTAGCTAAGGCTAAAAGCAGTCTGCAGAGCTGTGGAACAGGAGCTATACTGTCAGGAGCAGGTAACAGACAGCAGAATTGCAGAAGAAAAAATAGCTTGATTAGTGGAACCATTTAAAAGCCATTAAAAAGGAGGAATGGGTCATTAACACTTGTGAAATGAAGAATTTGGAAGGAATCAAGTTGATTATAATAAGCCATGAAGTCAATTGACTCCCTTGCTGCTGCCTGAATAAAAATAGTGCTGCCACTGAAGGCAGATGGTTTTGAACTTTGGGTGGAGCAGAAATCAAAGGGGGAATGTGACTGCACCACTGCACTCCTCTGGATCCACTCCTGAAGTGCTTGTAAAAGGCCCTTGTAAGAGTTGCAGAGCTGCTAAGCTTCCTACAGGGCACAGAGCCTTGGAACATGCCCCCAAAGGTCTTACTGACTCACATGGGGAAGGACAAAGTAAGGTATCCTCAGACCTGGACCTGGCTAACACAGTTGTTCAGCCTGGAGTGCTGACCACTCAGGCTAACTTTACAGTGAAGATGGTTCTGCCCTGAATATCCATAAAGTTAAAAATGTCTCTTCCCTTTGTATTCATTAAAGTATGTCTGTGGTACCCATCACAGTAAGATTCCAGGCTTTGATCAGTGTACGCATTTCCTTTTTACCGTAGTTTTTAATAGAGATGACTAAAATATAAATCCTGAAACTACAGGCTCTAGGGACCATTGAGTTTTGTATCCACATAGTTGTAATCTGGGCTGCAACACTGACTGAATTATCTTGAAAAAAATCTAATTTTTGCTTTTACGTAAGTAAACTGCTGGGTGAAGAATCAGGTCAAAATCATAACTTGGAAAAGACGAAGCATTGGATTTTTCTCTCTGGTGGTCTAGAAGCTCTCAAAATGGCCTCTTGTATGAAAAATAACATAATGGTATTTTTATGAGGGTGGTGGAAAACTACATAAAGTTAAGCAGGCAGCAGTAAGGATGAAGATTAAAGAACAAACAATTCAAGGCTGGTTAGACAACTGGAAGCAGTAAAAGAGATGCACTTTTTTGCATTTTGAGCATGTCATTAGACAATGATTGGTACCAACAACATAAGTCAGAAGAGGTAGATTGTTGAAAGTATATTTTAAAATCGTGAAGGTATGCACCTCACAGCTGGAACAGGTTATGCACCTTACTCTGAAAAACTATATCTAGGCAAACCATATCTGAGGGGTGGTTGATTGAAGAACGGTGAGATGGAAAAATATTATTTGTATCTAACTAAAATAAGCCTTTTGTTAATAAATTTATCTGCATTTCTGTATTTTATAGGATTCTTCAATACCAAGACTGCAGAAAATGTTACTGTAACTATACACCCAAAGGAAATCAGGACCTTTTTTGTATACTTTAAAGATCACTGAAAACTTGTTGCATGCTCCTGTCCCACCTAATAATTTGCTATGATTTTTTTTAAAGATCTGAAGTGACAATTTTGAGATCTTCTCCCCTGGTGCCACAAACAGAAGGAATAATTATTGTGTAATAAACTGTAAAACGTTGTTATCAAAACTAGTTCTGGATGTATTTGCTTATAGGAGATGATATCTCACTTTTTTAGGTAAGCTATTTGTCACATGCTCTTTCTCTTTAAATGAAAAATATCGAGCTTAAAAATAGAAACAGTGGAAAAAGCTTGCCTTGCTATGCCCATGCCAATGCCATACAAATGAGTTAGAACAAACCATAGTTTGTAAGGAGGCTTTTCTGAAAGTACAATACTCCACAACATCACCAGTTGCTCCCAGTTTTGGGATCCATTTTGAATTGTGTTTACCTTGAGTGGAAATCTCAGAGAACTCAGGAAGATATCAGTTAGACAAACAGTTGAACTGATCTGTACCTGGAAAAATTATGACCAAGTAGAGGCATAGAATTTATTGGAAAAAAAACAGGATCTCACCTATGAAAGAGGCCAGTAGGAAAGACCTAGAAGAGAAAGTTTATTTATTATTTATATTATAAACAGCAAATGTCTACATCTGTATGGCTCTCCAGATCACTGTGATTTTTGGTATCACTTGAAGGCATAACAGGTCCTAGGAGCTGCCTGTCACTCTAGGATGAAGAATGCTTTCTCTCCCCCATCACTCAGTTTCCTTACCATCAACATTCATGTTTCTAGATTCTTCATTCTCATCAGCAAGACAGTTCTGAACATGATGTGGTTGAAGCAGTTTGTGCTCTGGCTATTGTTACATTGCCTTTCAAAGCCTATTCAGTCTTTGACTACATATTCACAAAGTAAAACAGTGCTGTGTAACGATACTGGAGCTAAAACATGGTGCTAAACATGGAGCTAAAACATTCTGCCCGTGCTAATATAGTTTGCTTGTCACTGGACTAAGGCAGCTATATTATTTTTAATACCCAAATCAGCTTGGATCTCTCTACATAGCACTATGCTATGTGCCTTATATTAATTTCATCCTAAATGAGATCCTCACTGACTAGGAAGCATTTTGGGGTTCTTTGTTACCTGTACCTTTAAAATGGTGGCCACATTTTCAAAACATGCTTGCAAATCATGCTTCCAGTTCTTCAAAAACACTTGTTTGTGTCCAAAAGGCATACATAAAAAGGGTTATTAGGGTTGTGTGAAATTTCGCTGCCAGTCTTGTTTTGACGCTGTTTCGACTCATTTCGAGGTCGAAACAGCAAAATTGAAACAAAACAGATATTGTCGAAACAACCTCAAAACAAAACGAGGCAAGTCAAAACGTTTCGCCGTTTCAACGCTGTTTCGACATTTCACTCATAGGCTATAATGGGGAAGGTTGAAACAGCCGATAACCTTGTCATTTCTGGCCTGATTTGGATGAAACTTGGCGAAATGATAGCCCCTTCTGAGGGCATGAAGCCTGCAGACAAGCAAAACTCGTGACATGGGTGACACTGTGAGTGTTAAGGCACAGCAGTGTGAAAGCTGCAGGGATGGTAGCCCCTGCTGAGGCCACGAACCCTGCCAGCTGTCAAGGAGATAGGTGCAGGGGTTCTGGGGCCCTGCTCCTCTGGCTGCTGACAGGGAAAACTGTTTCGATGGAACGTAACAGAACAACTGTTTTGAATCGAAACAAAATTCAAAACAGAACGCTGTTATGTTGAAACGCTGGTCGAAATGGAATGGTGCCGTTTCGCACAGCCCTAGCAAACAGCTACAACTCCTGGTCAAGTGCAGTGGTGTTTTTGAGGACAACCCAGCACCTGCAGGCACAGTTGACTTGTCACTGAGCACACAGGCAGTGCTGATTAACTGTCCCCTACTGCTCCCTCTGGGAAGTAAGCCGCAGGGAGACTGGGGCTTTTGGGGATAGTGGGGGACCCAAAGACTGCCTGTAATCCTAACTGTGCGGGTATTACAAATGGTGCATCAAAACGTGGCACTAAAGAGAAGCTTCTCTTTCATCCAGAAACATTGCTGCAGCACTTCTGCCACTTTTGTAGCACTCAAAGTGGGGTGTACACATCTGTACCTTCAATGTTTGTCCTGATTCTCACCTTAGAATCATAGAAGTCGGGTCAGAAGGGACCTTGTAGATCTTCAAGTCCGACTCCCTGCCTGGGCAAGAGAAAAACTGGGCTCAAATGACCTTTTAAGAGGACAGTAATAAAACGCTAGAATCAAGAGTTTATTATAAAGCCAGTGAAAGTAAATGACACTGGAATTTACTTCTGAGAGAGAGACTGAAATACTTGACAGTCAGAAAGGAAAGGAACTTCTCTTCTAAACTTGGGGGGAGGAAATGCCCTAGCATTATACTGATGTTTTCCACATCTTGATTATTAGATCAACTTTGACCACAGTTTTTATAAGAAAAACATAAAAAGGTGAAAATTGCGGCAGTTTGGATCATGTAGCAGTCCAATCCTGAGCTGCTGGCACAAGCACTATGACAGGTGCTGCAGGAATAGCAATTACGGCTGGGAGTTGTCAAAAGAATCTAGCACCTGGTCCTAGAAACCTCCCTTCTGCCAATAGTTACTCCAGGTTAAGGCTTCTGCTGCTGTCTGACATCCAGCTTCAGTTGGATCTAGATGCTTCCACATGTTCAGCGAGCTGCTGCCATCCATTTCATAGCAGGTGCCTTCCTGGGCAGAACTTCATGCTCTGACAGTGCAGCTGTTGAGCAGAGCCACCAGAAGAGAATGGGTACAGATGTGCTTTGGCAGCCTGGTGATGGTGGCTGCCATCTATTGATGGAGCATCTGGTGGCCAGAAGTACACGCAGAGCTTAAGAATGTAGGGCATCTGATTCCTGTTCTACTTCAACAGGGCAGGAGTGCCAGTCTTAGACTTGCTTGAAAATCCCAACAAAAATCTGTATGAAGAAGATACATACGGTAAATAAAGTAACATTTGTAAAGAGCAACTGATTCATAGTAGTTTCTATCTTCATAGGTTGATTTATTTTTCCTAAAAATATATATAATAAAAGTGGGCAGCACAACCTGTCAGTGTTTTTTTGTTATGCTTCCTAATGAAGCATTTTATTTTAATGTTTACAAAAATAATTATGGAACAGTGGACCAAGAAACATCTGTATCATTACGGTGATACCTTTCTTTTCCTGCTACTTTGGTCCCTTTATTATTGTTGTTAAAAGTAAATTTCATTACATATTTAAATATAATAATGAACCTTTGGTTCATCCTGGAAACTACAAAGGGCAGCTCCTGCAATCTGAGCCTCAGTCTCCCTAAATTACAGCTACACTGTCACAGCTATTCCAGGGAACAGATGAACTGGTACATAACATGTTTTAATTGCAAGAATAGATTAGCATGAGTTATGTTTAGCACTGTCAGTAACTATGGGGTTAGGTTACTAAAAAGGTTTTGAATATGATTTATCTTTATCCACAGCTGAAATTCTACTCGATGCTGTTCCTGTTCTACTCATTATCAACTACCAGTCCCTGAGCATGCTATTAATTTACATTAAGCTTACTGTGCAGTATTTTACTGCACAGTAAGCCTTCGGCGGGAGCAGATTTGGTCCCAATGGGCATGGCCACACATGTGGGGACGTGTGCTTACAGCAGCTCAAACAGAAGCAGCACAAATTTGTGCCAGAGATTTTTGCTTCAGGACACATGCCTGAATATGCACTCTAGTGTGGGACAAGTTGTGCCACTTGGGGATCCACAGCCGGGGGAGCTGAAGCACAGGTGCTGGCCCCAACAGTATAAAAAGCTGCCCTGGTGAACAGCTCAGGCTTACTTGCTCTCACAAGCTTCTGAGGCCCGGCCAGTTGACATATGGGGACACTAGCCTCACAAGCTAGCTGGACTGCTGCAGCAGCCCTGACCTAGAGTGGCCTCTGGTACCCTCTATGGCAGTCTGGGAGTGGGGGCTGTTGCCTGGTTGTGACCTGCTGCCACCTGCAACAGCATCTGCAGCCTCATGTCTGCACACCTGCCAGACCTGGACAGGGGCCGCACAGCCACCTAGGCTGTGACATAGGCACTGCAGCACAGCTGTCTGCACCTCTGGGCCAGCTGCCTGTAGGGTGTGGCTACACAGTTGGTCTTTGTGTGACACTGCTGCCATGTGTGCCCACACCCTACTATCTGGGCAGCTATCACCTGGAAGATGTGGTGGCCTGCTTTGAACTGTCAAAGCATGTCCTCCTGGCCCCAAACAGCCAGCAGGTCAGCCACCTCCAGCTGGGTCCCTGGTGCCAGCCCTGGGCAGGCTTCTCTGTCTGGGTCCTGCCACTTGCCTCACTAACAAGGATCCTGGTGTTTCCTATTTAAAAAGTGAAAATTCTATGATAAAAAATCCCACATTCACTCTTTAAAATACTCCAAAATCCATGTTCTTCCACAATTAAAACAAAAAAACACTATATAGAGAGAGACAGAGAGGTCAGCTGGGCAATGTTTTATCGCTAAATTTACAATTCTAAAGCATTTGGAAGCCTACCAGCTTCTCTATCATCATAGTAAAATAAATTCTAAATATCTATAAGCTTTGATGTTTGCTTTTGGTTTTCTTATAGAAAAATCAGAGCTCCTCCTGACCCCTTCACTAACCATAGTTTCATAGTTTCTAGGGTCAGAAGGCACCTGAGTAGATCATCTAGTCTGACCCCCTGCCATGGCAGGAAAAAGTACTGGGGTCAAACAACCCCAGCAAGGTGTACATCTAACCAGGATGTGGGGACAGCTGCTTCTGAAGCCACATCTGCCAGCAGATCTCATCCTGCCTGGCAGCTGGGCGTGATGGGGGGATGTGGGGTTTATAGGAGGGGAGTCTGGGGAAGATGTGGGGTGTGTGCATGTGTGCAGGAGGATGTGGGGGGCATAGGAAGTGTGGGTAGGTGTAAGAGGGATTTGGAGTTTGTGGGGGGGTTTGAAGGGGAACCACCACATGCCCACCCCCAGCCCCCTGTGGCGCACATCCCTCAGAGCTGGCAGCAGCAGCTAGCCAGGTTGTCAGGGTGGTCATGGCCCACTGTAAGCACAGCCCCTAAGCCACACATCACCACCTGACCCTCATGGAGAACAGGACTGATCCAGCCCAGCCTGCCCTACTAGCATGCACGTTTGGACAAAAGCCGCAAGTGGTGGCAGGAGCTGTTTCAGTCCTGTCCAAAGGCACGCTAGCAGAAGGGGCTGGGCCCATTCTCCATACACAGACCGCAGATCAGGCAGTGCTGCAACAAACATGACCCAGCTGGCTGCTGCTGCCAGCACTGGATGCTGTGCATCGCAAGGTGGGGGGCATGTGGCAGCCCTCCCTCAAACTTCCCCACATCCTCCCACACCCCCTCCCACTTCCCACACACACCACACCCACAAAGCCCACCAGAAACCACACAGCCCCCTCACCCCCAGTCCCTGCTTACCTGGGACAGTGCCTGGGGCCAGGTCACACCGCAGCCTTGCCCTGCTCCTGTTTGCCCCACGTGCTGAGGCAGCGTGCTACAGCAGCAGGGGCAACATAGAGACATTCTGGCTGGATGCCAGTGTGTCTCTGGAGGACCCAGGCCAGGCTCTGCTTGCCTCAGGGCACACTGCAGGACTGTGCCCTATTCTGCTTTTTTCTGGGTTTGTTTTTTGTTGCTGTTGTTGTTACCTGGAAATCCATGTATCCAAGTCAGAGCCCGCGCTGCAAATAAGCAGCACAGGGAACTTTTTTTGTTCTAAGCGTGCATCTTGCAGCATCTCAAACGGGTTTGAGATGCCACAACAAGCATGTGCACACTCCTCTGGACGTGCCCAGTGAAAGCAGGCCTGTACAGGGCTTCTTCCGCCCTGCTCTATACCCCTGCAGTAGCCAGGGGGAACTCCAAGCTCCCTCAGGTGCTGGCCTGGGGCCTGGCCAGGGTCACAGGAGGGGACCTGATGGGCATTGGGCCAAGAGACAGCTGCCCCTGCTGCAGGCAGGGCTCTCCTGGCCCTCTTTGCCCACTGCAGGACACGGGTGCCAGAGAGTCCCTGGGAGCTATCTGAGGTGTGGGGCAGCTGCTGGCGAGCCGTCTGCTGGGCAGGGGGGTACAGGATTCACTGGCAGCTGCTCTGCTTGGGTTACCAGCCCATCCACGCCCCAGAGCAGGGTGGAGCTGGCAACTCCAGTGGGTGAGTGGGGGGCTGAGAACCCAGCCCTTGCCCACCCCACAGAACACCTCTGCACGGCACAAAACTGGCTACTCAAAGGGCAAGCGGGAGCTGGGAACTGTGCAGAGCTGCTCTGGAGGGTGAGCAGAGACTGGGTCCCCAGGCCCCGCTTGCCCCCTGAGGCAGCTCTATGTGGAGGATGCAGAGCTGGCTGCTCTGGAGGGCAAGAGGGAGCTGAGATCCCAGCACCCGTCTGCTCCCCTGGAGCTGCCAGTTCTGTGCTGGAAGCCGGGACAGGGAGCAGAAAGCTCCCCAGTCCTGGCACTGATCAGCTCCCAGTTCCTAGGGGGAGCCGGAAGCTGAGCAGTGCCAGGACCAGGGGCAGAGAGCTCTCTGTCCCCTGTGGCCCCCCATGCCTAAGATGACCCAAGTGCTACTGCGCAGTAGCTACTGTACAGTTAATCTAGTACCTGTACAGGTACTAGCTTACTATGCAGTAGCTTAATTTACTGTGCAGTAAATGCCCTGCATGTGTAGACAGTGACATGTTACTGCATACTAAATTAGTTTACTCTGCAGCGCAGTAAAGTGTCTCATCTAGACGCACCTCCTGACCTTGTTCTCTGGTCATTTTTAAAGTATAGACAGGCCCTTAGTGAGTTATTTGCCAGTCACAAAGTGTCATTCCAAATTAAGATTTTTGGATCACAGGTTACAAATAGACATCACATTTGGCTCAGGATAAACCATTTTATCCTAGGAGAAAGTTCAGTCATTTAGACATCTATGCCCATTATCCTGAGGTGCATCCTCAAAGGGTTCATGGAATAAGATGTGCCAACAGTTTGTCCTGGGACATCACAAAGTGTCTGACCAGTTAGCCTGGGACTACATCACTGACTCAATGGCAGGAAAGTGGGAATGCATTCAGCTGCTCACTAAGCCCTCATTAGAAGGGCAATTCTGTGTAGACACCAATCCTGGAACCCAGGATAAACACTGGCACAGTTTGTCCAGGGACAGGTACAACATATGTTTCTAGCCTTGGGGGGGTCATGTGATCAACAACTATATGCTCTTTGATTATTCATGGATCAGTAGGGTACACACTAAGGGTTGTGAGTGTGCACTGTCAGGCAAAATATGTGGATATGATACTACTCTGTAATTTCATTCTAGAAACAGAAAAAGGGACCCTTGAGAATAGCATGTCACACACATCTGTCTATGCTCTCGGAAGCCAATGGCTTTTTGTAATTTCCAGTGCAAATATAATAGTGATACAACTCATTCATTGTACCTAATTGGACTTAATAAACCTGTGTCAGCATCTTGGCCCACATTTTTACCTGCCATTTGACCAGTGTTTATTTGCACTTATCCCACTGTTAGACTTCCATCTGGGCAGCTCCTCCAGCGACAGTAATCAGTGGCATAGACTATGGGCAGGTTTACTCCCCCAAGCAATGGTAAATCACATGGTAACAAAAATGCTTGTCCCTTGTTTTTCTGCATCCTTCTGATAGTGGAGGCACTTCAATTCTACACTAACAATAGGAAAAAGTGGTAGCAACAACCTAGTATAGCCACGATATAAGCACTAACAAGGTGACAATGTAATATGTGATGGGGAAAGTAATGTGATCATTAGCAGCAGGGAACCACATGCATGTTGTCCCCAACCTCAGATTTGGACTGAATTCATCAAATAAATTGTGCTTCGAGTTACTGAAATGTCTGAGGAGATGAATGGAGTAGCTGAAAAAACCTCATCCTTATCAAATGCTTCAAAGGAAAGAACTTCTGACTTTTGTGGTCAAGAGCATCACTTCATGGTAGTACGCTGAGTGCCACTGTCTTATTTAAAAAGCAAGCAGTTAGATTTACCTTGAAAATCAAAATGTTCAGTTATTCAGACATTTTGGGCTGAGCTTTGAAACTGAAATATTTGTCATCATAATTCAGTGATTGTGCTTAGAAACACGTTTTAAGATCTTTAGTCACCATCAGCACAGCAGAGGGAACAGGAAGTTAAGCTGCATATATGATAAACTGACTTTTTAAGGAACTTCAACTGAAAGATACTGTTGCTGAGAGATGACCATGATCATTCTGAAAGTTTTTCTTTTGACAGTGGTTTCTGACTGCTTGGGTAAGTGTGGATTTTTCCCCTTGCTGTTCCTATATAGATTAAATCCTGTAGAACTGATTTTAAAAAAGCCTGATGACCAAAATATATGTCCTCACAACCTCCCGCATCAGTTTATGTGTGCAGACATATGAGTGAGTTGGGGAAAGCGTTGCTTTTGTTTTCAAAGAGCAGAGGGCAATATTTTATGCAAAAGCCAATTCAACACGCATTTAAACAATGTTTCGTAAAGAAGACTTGCACAAGGACAATTTTTCTAGTGAGAATGTGAAGAATCAAAAAATGAAGCTGTGTTAATTCCAAACCAGAGATCTAGGTCAATGCTTGCAAATGTTGTTTGTTTGGAAATTAGACCTTTATATTCAATGCTTCATTGAAATCATTTCTCACTGTAAAGTTCTAAAATGTCTTCCAGAACAAGTAGCTACTTAAATACAAACTGGTTCAAATTTTGTCCTGCAGATTTCATGCAAACATCACAAAATGCTGCACACTGTTAAATACTGTAATTATTCAGTTAAATAGTGAAGGCGAAGGAGAAGAGATTTAGTAACAGATTTGGATCTTCTCTTCCTCCTCGTGTTATGCCTGAGATTGTTGATGACAGGTATTTTGCAAAAAAAACAGGGCAGAGGGTGCTCCTATTAAAAGCAAAAATGGGAATTTTATTTTTGACTTCAGTGATGGTGGGATTGGATCCCTTTTCAGCAGGACTATGAGTGAACAAGTTGTGTAAAACAGCTGTTGTGAGGTGCACTGACAAGGCGGCAGGAGAAATTCTCTGTTATTTCTCTGGGTTAGTTCTTTCAAAAAGGAGAATAAAAAGATACTAATGGTTTTGAAAATTATTGCACAACCCAGCTAAAATTTGATTGAAATCCTAAAGATTGGGAGGACTGTTTAACTAAATCAGGGCGTCCTTGCTCTTTTTTTTTTTTCCACTTTAGTCTTATTTGGGCAAAACTCATATCAATATCAACTGGGCCTGAGGAAGAACTCAGTAAAAACTCATTGCCAATTTAAGGGCCATTATGAGCCATTCTTCCCATTTACAAATATAACATAACAGCAAAAGAAAGAATTACCATATCTGCTTGAATATAAGACAATCCCGATAATAAGATGATCCCCAATAATTAGATTCTATATATGGAAAGTATATAAATTTGATATAATTGTCCAGACGATGTTCTTTGGGTAAATCTGATATTTTTTATTAGATCAACTCAAATAGTTGGAAAAAATCTTCTTAGCAAACTTTTGGGTTTAAAAACCCTTCGTCAGGCTAAGGAAAGCATCTGCAGTTCATGTGCGCTCTTCCATCCAGGAAGAGCACACACCAACTGCAGATGCTTCCTCAGCCTGATATTTCCAAATACTCAGATATTTCTAAATTCTTTTGGCGGGCATCCTACATGCAGGCCCAAGCCCAGAGGCTTGGGGTTTGGATGCCCCCAAGCTGTGCCTGCCCTCAGCCATATGGCCATGGGAACAAGCTAGGGAGAAGTCTCTTATTTCCATAAAAATGGGCATTAAGCCCCCCAATGCCTCGGTGGGTACTAAACCACACCAGAAGAACAGTTACCCCTGGGAGGCTTAAGGAAAACTGCTTTCTTGGACCCAGATACATGGTGTTTCCCCTGCCAGGTACCTGTTGAAGTGTTGGGTTTAATGCCCATTTTATGGAAATGGGAGGCTCCACCCTAGCTTGCGCCTTTGGCTATATGGCTGAGGGTAGCTGAAACTTGGGGGCATCTGAGCCCCAAGCCTCCAGGCTTGTGCCTGCACTTAGGATGCCTGCCAAAAGACGATGGAAATATCTGAAGCCCCTGGTTGGGGTGAAGGATGTTTGCCAGTTGTAGAGCCACTTATGGTTCTGGACTGACCCATGGATTTGGACTTGATTTGGCTGATTTGGATGGGAACACAAAAAAATTCTTAAAAAAAAAAAAAGGTAGGTTCCCAAGATCAATCATTTTTGCCACCAAGGGGAGGGTATCAGGGTTGGCTCTGGCCTTCCCACTGCCAGCCTGGTATAGTAGCACCTCTAAATCTGGTGCTAGTTCCCTGTGGAGGGAACACCCACCCATTTATTTTTAAGGGCCAAAAAAAAAAAAGGACTTCCCATTGACATATTTCCCTAATACGGGCCATGTATTTAATAGTCACGCTCCGTGTTGGCTGCATTTAATCACCTTCATAGTTGGTTTCCATTACTGATGGCAGCAGTTCAGTGATAGGTAATGTATTTAATGCGGTTCCCTTGTATGTGAGTATGAATGTAAGATCAGGGGCTGCTTTTCCCATGCCAATTGGGGGGGAAATACCTCATCTTGTATTTGAGTATATACAGTAGTACTTCCACGTACAATATATGAGCAGCCTATTTGACTAAGTGTGTCAGGAGGTCTGAGTATAATCTTAAAAGGATTAATCATTTTATTGCCATTACTACCATTATTAATAAAATGAGCTGTTCTGATCTCAGCTCTAAAGATGCTTTTACACAAGGAAAAGGAAAATATTTGCTCTTATATAAAGTATTGCATGAATATCTGCTTAATTCACCACATATCAAAATAAAATAGTGAGAACACGGAAGGGACATGGACTAAATTTTCCTCTGATATATCAGGTAGTGGTCTTAGCTAGTAGCCCTCTGGTTTAAGGTGGCAAATTGTATGTCAATTAAATTAATTGACTAAGTTTCACATTAAGCCCTCCAGCGTGGACAAACCAAACTGAAAAGGAAATTTCAACAAATTATTTAGAAAATGGCATCTTATTCTTACCTATTTGAAGCTGTACACAGCAAGAACTCAAAAAATGTAATGTGTTTTTTTTTAATTTCTAGGCACTCTCAGATTTTATTCTTTTAAATAAATAAAGTTAATGTGTATGTGTCTCTTGTAGTTTTCGGGCGCATTACATATCCCTTCAGACCAAAACGTTCCTGTAATTTTACAGTGCAGAAGTTAAACACAAGAATCCCTACACGGATTCCTACAGCAACATAACTATGCAGAGCTGTATTATTTAAACTGTTACTTTAAGACAAAAAAAAATACCAGAGAATCTTATATAAAATTTACTCAATCACACCAAGTTATGCTGATACAGGACATACAAGAGTTGAAGGTTCTTTTATGATCTCTTTTATCAGACCAGCTGTATAGTTGGAAGAGACATTAGATAAGCTTTTGGGTGCAAACTGCCCTTCCTCAGTCCTCTTCCTGAGACCTGAGGAAGGGCAGTTTGTGCAGAAGTTTATTTAGCTTCATTTCCAACTGTGCAGTTGGTCTAGTAAAAATATATCATAAAAGAACCCTTGCCTATTGTACATTTCCTGAACCATCATGCCCACAACAAAACTGATATAGGATGTATAAATTTAGCACACTTGATCTTTAGCATTTTGGGGTGTTTTTACACATGCTCGGGTGCGGGGGGTGGGCTTAATTAGAGAGGCTCCAAAAGAAATAATGGGATTAAATTGCAATAAGGGAGATTTAGGTTAGAAAGGAGATTTAGGTAGAGAAATATTTTTAACTATGAGAGTGGTTAAATGCAGGACAAGATTACCTAAAGAGGCCATTCAGTCTCCATCCTTGGAAGTTTTTTAAAAGCAAGTTAGACGAATGCTTGTATAAAATAATTTAGATGGGGATGACTCTGCAGCAAGTAGGGGATTGTAGTAGATGGATTTTCTTTCAGTTTTGTTTTTCTATGATTTGTGCATCTAAATTCTCAGTAAAAATGCTGAGTTGGGAGGGGAGTGATGAATGCCTGTTAAAACCCAGTTAAAGCACAGAGAAATGAATGCATATGAATGCATAACAAATACACAGTAGAGTGACAAATACTGGCAAAATCTGCCCTTGTTTTCAATGCAAGTAGAAGACGAGCAATCTTTGCATTAGTATATATGCCACTGGTGGTGAAGATTACCAACTACATCCAAAGTATAGCTGACACCAAAGGTGCAGGAAGTGCCAGGGTAAGCCTGTTGGCTCAGCTCTAATTTCAAACAAAATCGGAGAATTAAATAGTATCGGTTTATGGATTCTTTTGGCCTTGCAGACACACTCCTCTAAATGTGTTGCTGATGTAACTGGGTTTACCCAGGCTTGTTTCTCCCAGCTCCATATGCAGTAGGATGCTACGGTGTATAAATGCCCTTTGATATTTTATGTTGCGTTTAGCACTAATGCAGTCACTCATATTTTTCCAGCATAGGGATATGGTTAGGTAACATGTTACTGGTGGTCAAGCAAAGATTGTTGTCACACGGGGATTAAGTTGGGGGGGTGGGGAGGGATGGAAAAACCCTTCCAAATTCTGCCCATGGCAGAAGCCTCTCAGAATATATTGTCCACATGTTCAAAATGCCACCACGTACGCTCTCTGCCTGGTTGTCCTCATATGACCCACTTAGTTCTACTCGATCTTTTGGCTTTGGCTTCTTCTGTCTATAAACTCACTAGGGGGAACCAGAAGGGTTTGGGGGAGACGCTGTTTCCCCTAGCGCCCGCTGGCATAACAAGGAGTAATGGGCACAAGTTGATGGAGAGGAGGTATAGATTGGACATCCGCAAAAACTACTTCACAGTTAGGGCGGCTAGGAGCTGGAACCAACTTCCAAGGGAAGTGGTGCTGGCCCCTACCCTGGGGGTCTTTAAGAAGAGGCTGGATGCCTACCTGGCTGGACTCGTTTGAGTCCCGTTTTTGTTTTGGGGTTTTGTTGTTCTCCCGCCCTGGCGGGGGGTCGGGCTAGAAGATCTACTAGGTCCCTTCCGACCCTAAATCTATGAAACTATGAAACTATGACGGGGATTGTGGAGTAAGGTGGTGGCACTCGCCAAAAATCTTTCATTCCTGGTTCCAGATTTTGCAGTCACCCCCTGTAGATCATACAGACCTGCACAATATAATCTTCTCTTTCTTTTCTTGCTCCTTTTGGTAATCAGTGAAATAACTCATCCTTTAAATGTCAACATGGTTATAACTGAGCATCCATGTTCACCTGAACAAGGCAGTTCATGCTTCATACTATTGTTTGAAGCTCTGCAAGCTCGGGCAAACCTCACAATACATTTGGTTTGTATTTTCGAGGCTATCTCAGCAATTGTAGCAGCCGAAAGATTGATATTTTGTGGGTTTTACCTCAAAGTTTAGATTTGGGAGAACAAGGCAGCAGCATAAAGGACATGTCTGTATAAACACACACAGACTAAATATAAATCCAAGCCCTGCTTGTGAGAGCAGAAAAGTTGTTGTTTAGAAACAAACATGGTGTTAATTGGTAATACTGGCTCTAACCTACCCAAAGCTGTAGTTGTAGGACTGTGGATAGCTGCTTCAGGTACCAGATGAAGTATTGCTAGTAGAGCAGAAAAAAACTTCCAGGGCTGCTGTCCCTGCTGACCTCTTCTGTTCACTGCCACTAAATTCACTTGTTATAAAACAAGGAAAGTACAGGCATACCTCGGAGATATTGCAGGTTCGGTTCCAGACCACCGCAATAAAGCAAATATCGCAATAAAGCGAGTCACACGAATTTTTTGGTTTCCCAGTGCATATAAAAGTTATGTTTACACTATACTGTAGTCTATTAAGTGTGCAATAGCATTATGTCTAAAAAAAAATGTACATACCTTAATTAAAAAATACTTTATTGCTAAAAAATGCTAACCATCATCTGAGCCTTCAGCGACTCGTAATCTTTTTGCTGGTGGAGGGTCTTGCCTCAATTTGTAAAAAACGCAATATCTGCGAAGCACAATAAAGCGAAGCGCAATAAAATGAGGTATGCCTGTATAAAGTATGCAAGTATGGGGTCACCACATGGAGTTAAATATGCTGGTTTCAGTTCAGAGGCGTAAGTATTTTCAACATGCTATAAACTAAAAAGCTTCACATTATTCATTTTTTCTTTTTAAAAAAAATTATAAGCATAATTACAATGAAATACACATTTCTTACATAACAAAGAACATTTTCACAGAAAGAAGAGGCTTAGCCTGTATGGGGAAACTTCACTAAATACCCCACAAGAACAATATGTAAAGAACATTAAAGAGAAAGAGATGAATTTTTAATTTGATCTAATGTATGCATCATTCCTTTGAGAAACGAGGGCAGAACTAACTCAGTAAGAGTGACAGTATTATCACAAAATAGGTTTAGCAATGTTGTAAAATTATAAATACATTCAAATGTAATTATTGCACTCTTTAATGTTACCTGATTCCTACTTTCAGTTGAAAACTATTGCTTTTCTTCTATAGTTACAGATATTGATACCTTAAAAGTCAGCCAGACACCAACAAAAATTATTGCATCAGCTGGACAGTCGGTTGAAGTGACCTGTACCTGGGAAAATCATGACAGAGTTGAGAGGTATCGAGTTACCTGGGAAAAACAGAATCTCAGCTCTGAAGGGCCCAGTACCGAAAAACTAGAAGAGGAAGTTCGCAGTACAAACAATACCGTACATACGAACAAGGCGATGCTAAAGCTCGAAGCTGTTAATGTAAACAACACTGGAATTTACTTCTGTGAAATAAATGTTGAAATCCCTTACCTGAAGACAGGAAAGGGAAATGGAACAACTCTAATTGTTGCAGAAGAAGGTAAGCAAGCCATAGATAGTAGCTGACCTGTTTTCGTGCCACTTCATTTGTCTCTGTCAAGATGGTTCAGTCAGAAATGTATTTGTTATTTTTTTCCCCTTGAGAGAGTTACAGAACCTGTAATTTGAGCAAAAATCTAAGTATTGAGAGTCCAGCAGGTCCCAGCCTTTTTAGACTCAAGGCATCCCTCAGAGAATGCCAGCTCTTAGTTTTCACTTACAATTTTCTACAATAAAAAAAACCAGAACAACTCTTCTGTTGCAAAGAACTCAGAATGATCACAACAGGTCAGCATGTTTTTGACACCATGGGGGATTCCTGTTTGAAATCCCTGGGTTTATCTTGTGAATCCTGCGTAGGTGTTTGCGCACCCATGAATTGTGAGGCTCTCATGGCACTCTAGGTTCTGCGGTTCCTGGTTGAGTATTCCTGATTTAACCCTTCATCGGTTCTGATATTGCCTCTTCTTGTGACAATTCATTTAACGTTTTGGCCTTGGTTTATGCAACTGCAGGATACTTACATTTCAGGATACCTGAGAGGATTCACTACAATATTATTGGCAATAGCCTTTGGTTCACTGGGTGCTTCACAGTGCCTGCCCAGAAAAATTTACAATCCAGGTGTGAAACAGCATCTAAGGCTGATAAATAATGGGGTGGGAAAGGAAGGAGAAGGACACAAGTTATTGTACTAGAACTGCACTGTTCCTCAGTTCAGTCATGTGAACATTTCAGCACTTGTATTTTTATGTTTAATGTTTTTTATAAAGTTGAAAAAGTAGTAGTATTGGTTCACTATGACAAAGATCATATTGTTCGTCATGTGATCCGATTGTCTTAAAAGTACCACAGATGTGATAGTTATTATATAAGTAAACTCTTATTCATGATTTATTTTGAAAAAATTAAGATCTTAAGCTTGAGAATACTTAAGCATGTGTGTAACTTTGGTGATAGAAATAGGCTCCACTGAAGACTGATAGTCCCCATCTCACATTGTTCAGAATTACTAACCTGAACAATGTGAGATGCACACCTAAGTGTTTACAGGTTGGGGCCTTAATTGTGGGGGGGGAAAAATCAGGTCCAATCCTGGTTAATTATCAGTTGACACTAATTGCTTATGACAAAGATGCGCAAGAATTTTAAAAGGTAACATAGGGTACATCTACACGTTCAATTAATGCATGTGAATAAACTCTGAAGTTTATTGCTCCTGGATGCCGTGTCTTCACATCCACCCAGGACATTGAGCCAGGGGGCAGCAGCCCTGGCTGGCAGGGAAGCTGGAGGGGGTCAGCCTGCCAGCCTAGGGCTGCTGCCCCCTTGCTCAGCATGCTGCAGAGGGGCTGGCTGGGGCACAAGGCTGTAGCA